CATTTTCTGTAAAGGGCCATATGCTAAATATTTTAGGCTTTGTGTGACATATAGTCTCTTTACAAGTACTCTGTTATAACACGAAAGCAGCCGTAGCCAGTGAATGAGCATGGATGTATTCCAATACAAGAACAGGTGGTAGGCTGGATTTGATCTGGTTTGAAGGCCCCTACTCTAAGTCATTATACTCATTGCCTCTGTTTTCTGTCTCTGGACAAAATACTTCTCCCAACAGCATGCTCCTCCCAAACTCCTAGAATATTCTTTTCAGCATTCCCTTCAACTAACTCCTACTTCATTTTCAAGTTTTAACATAAGTGAGACTTCTTCAGGGAAACCCTGTGTATTAGCTTCTTAGGGCTGCTGTAACAAACTGCCACAAACTATTCTATTAACCAATAGAAGTTTATTGGCTTATGGTTCTGGAGGCTAAAAGTTGAAGATCAAGGTGTTGGCAGGGTTGGTTGGGCTGTGGAGAAAACCTGTTTCGTGCTTTTCTCCTAGCTTTTGATGGTTTGCTTCTGGTGGCAATCTTTGGCATTCTTTGGCTTATAGATCTTAACCTTTATCTTCACGTGGCCTTCCCTCTGTGTGCCTGTCTGTGTCCAAATTTCCTCTTTTTTTATAAGGACACCAGTCATATTGGATTAGGGCCCATCCCACTCCAATATAACTTCATCTTAACTTAGCTAATGTACTGGTGGTTAGGGCTTCAACATGTGAATTTGGCAGGGGAACACAATTCAACCCATAACATTCCCTGGCCCTCCAAACTCTTTGACACTCAGTAACCACTTTTTTTTTTAAAGAGGGTCTCAATCTGTCACCTAGGCTGGAGTGTAGTGGCATGATCATAGCTCACTGCAACCTCGAACTCCTGGCCTTAAGTTGAACTCCTGGCCTCAAGTGATCCTCCCACCTCAGCCTTCCAAAGTGTTGGGATTATAGTCATGAGCCACTACCCATTTTTTAAGAGAATGAATAAATGAATGTATACTGTGATCGGAAAATTTTATGTTGGCCTTTCAGCAATTTATTCTCTACAAAATGTAAGAACTATAGCAGAAAACATTGATTCAAAATGTAGAAGCAAATCTATAAATAATATTCTGTTACATTTCCTTAGTCCTGTGATGAAATCTACTATATCTTTTGAAATAA